CATCCCAGAGACAGACACCAGGTGTGGTCAAGGGTGTGTAGACAAGGGGACCCTGTGCACTGTTGGTGGGAATGTAAACTGGTGCAGCCACTGTGACAAACAGTATGGAGTTTCCTGAAAAAATAAATACAACTATCACATGACCCAGGAATGGCTCTACTGAGTGGATTTCTTTGGAGAACACAAAAACACTACCTCGAAAAGACAGATGCATGTTCACTGCAGCATTATTCACAGTAACCAGACATCGAAACAGAGACCTTGGGAGCATTATGCTAAGTAACTCAGACACAGAAAGACAAATACCAGGTGCTGTCATGGACATTCCACACGGAAACAAAAATACTGAACGCATAGATACTGAGAACAGATGGGTGGTTGCCAGGTTCGGGGATGGGGGGGCACGTGGGAAGGTGGTCAAAGGCACATGTTTGAGTGATAAAATGCGTAAGTCATGGAACGTTTTCTGCCGCATGGAGACTAAAGCTAACCCTGCAGGATGGGGTACAGGTCCCCCCGCTATTTGAAAGTACAGTGTTCCTAGGAAACCTTTCACAGCAGAAATGGTGTAAACCAAAGGAGGAATTATCATTCATTTATACAGAAAAAATAGTGAGCGTGCTCACACTCCAAAAATGACTTCTCTTTGGCTTTTCCTAGGCCTCAGGGCACAACTTCCTAAGGGATGCCCAAAATAAATGGAGATGAAACACAGCAGATGCTCACAGACACGATTCAAAGTGCTGAGGGCTGGACGCAGAGAGCAGTTCCCAGGAAGGAGCTGGTTGGGGTGCAGGCTGCCTCTGCAGTGGCTCCCCGCAAAACAGATGCTGAACGCGAGGCTCACTTTTCGACTTCTTTCATAAGAGGGAAATCCTCTTCGGGTTTCTTCCTGTTACTGAAGCCGAGTAATGACGTAGATCTTTCAAAAAACCCAAATGTCTTACCATGAACTTTTAAAAAGTGGGGGATACTTGTACTTGAAAGTTGCTGAGGGAGGAGATGTTAAATGTTCTCCCGGACACACGCATCAGCAGATCCACCGTGAGAGGCACCTTCCTCAGCATGGGGAACACGGACTACCTCCTACCCCCAGAAACCTCCTCCTTCCCCTTCCTCAGGACAACAAACCACAGCTGGGAGTTACCCCAATTCCTCCTTTCTGCCACTCCCAATATCTAATCCATTGGCAAATCCTGTGAGCTCCATCTTCAAAATGTACTCAGAATAGGACTAACCACTTCTTCCGAGACCACCTGTCTGGCCCACACTGGAGCCCATCTCTTGCCTGAATTCCTGGAAAAGCTTCATCATGGACCTCCCTTGCCCATCCTCAACCCTCTGTCACCTGTTCTCAGCACTGTAGCCAGGAAGGCCCAGTGAAACAGGGTCCCATGGGGTCACAGCCCTGCAGTGACTTTCTGTCTCCCTCTGTCCCCTCCCTGAGGCCATGTCCTAAGCTGTCTCCTGTGGCCACAGGGCCTTCTTGATGCTCCTGGACATACCTGGTATGCTCCTGCCCTGGGGCCTTTGCACATGCTTTCCCTTCCGTTTAGAATGCGCTTGATGTGATTTCACTCACCTTCTTTAGATCTTGACTCAAGGATCACCTTCCTAGTGAAGTCCCACCTGGCCCCTACGTGAATGGCAAGCACCACCCCCACCTCCCCTTCAGCATGCCAGCCCTGTCTCCTGCTCTATATTTCCACATATAGAACTTATCACAGTCACCAGTCCATCTCGGCAGGGCAGAAACGGAGGCCTACACGGATGGTTTCACCACGGACTACCTCCGATTTCCTGGTCCAAAGCCCCGGGGAAAAGGTGCCCCAGAGCTCTTGCACAGCCAGGATGCCCGGGACAAGGGGGTCCACCTACTGCACCCTGAACACCATCAGGAAAATGAGCCATACGAGGACTCCACCTGCCCATGAGACCTGAAACCAGACACTTTCCTCGATTACAGGTGAGCACACACACGTCCTCTCCTTGCCTGAGGTGCTCATCTGAGAAAGCTGAGCAGAGACCCATCCCAGGACCCAAATCTCCCTTTGCCCAAGGTCCTGGGAAACAAACATCTCTCCTCCCTGCACCAACCACCTGTGATTGAAGTCCGGAATCCTCCTGTGGTCAAGCAGAGTGGTGCACCTGTCCCTCTTTCCTGTGATGTCATCACAAACCAAGCTTTGCTGCACAGGACATCTGCTGTGCCTCCTCTGAGGAAGCAGGGGGCACACTGCACAAGAATCGATAATGCTGCGAGTGAGCTGCTTCCCACCAACCACCCTGCTGAGCCGAGGGCTCGAGAACCAAACAGGAAGCAACTCTCTTATCACATCTGCAGCAGGAGGGCTGGCCAGGGAGGAGAGCCCAGTCCCTATCCCTGGAGCAAGCTGGCCTGCCCATCGTGAGCGATGGTCCACCACCACGGCGTCACAACCTCCCACCTATCTGATCCGACTACCCTGCCAGGCTCAGACCTGCTCACACAGAGAGTCATAAGACCCAGCGACTTCTTTCCACTCCAGCTCAATGCTTCTCACGGAGAAGCAAACTCCAGCCTCACATATGTGCTCATCGTTACCTCTGGAATTCCCTGGGTGGTGTCTACACTGGCCCACACAGCTGTCCCATCCAGGCCACTCCACAAATGCCCTAGGGTTTCAAGCCACTTCCAAGCTGCCCTTAGAAAGGCAGGAACTGGCCCGATGAGGCACACCAGCCAAGTGACTCCATGTGCTAGAAACTCGGACAACATCCTCGCTGAACACCAATGCTTCCGAGTCCGAGCTTCAAACATTCGCTCATTGGGCACTGAGCACCATGTCAACATCAACACTGCTCTTTCAATTCACTTGTCTCCCATTCCTTAAAGTCGGAAACCAAGCTCCAGTCACTGCTCTAGTTTCCCTTCAAAGAAATAAGGCAAATGAGAGAATAAAACACTATGTGTGCACAGCACACTTCTATCAAAATATAACTCCTTCGTCTTTCTCATACGGGCAGCCCTACATGACCCATACGAATGAGACATGCCATGAGTTGAGTCATTATATGTATATTTGACCTTGTGTTTTTCCTTTTGATATTTGTATCTCAAAGTCAATGTCTATATTGCTCTCTTAAAATAATAATAATAATAATGACATGGTCACATAAGGGTCTGGATCTCCATAGCCACACACCCTGGCTCTGGTCCAGATAAGGAGGAAGACACAACCTCAGCCCAGGAAGCGAGGCCCACACCCTCAGGGATCCCGACACGCCTCACGGGTGATGGGTTCCTTTGCGACATGCAGTTGTCCGAGCACAAAGGATGCAGGCACCCTCCAGGATTCCTTGTTTTCTTCATAAATTCCCCAGCTCAAGTCGCAAGCGACTCACGGAGTCAAGCTTCCAGAGCCCAAGATGGGCCACCAGGTAAGCAGCCCCATTGGGAAGGCTAACAGGGGGCTCGATTTCCTTTGGGAGCACGACGAGACACTCCCCAAGCTCCTAAAGAACCTACACTCCTTCTCCATGTGTCCCTCTCACAAAGGGCACCGTACCCTGTTACAGATCTGCGGCTGTGTTTTACTTTAAAACATAATTTCTAATATCGGAATGTGATACATGGAACAGGAAAACATGAACACTCACAAAGGATTCTTTTAATATCTTTGAAGATTGTTTTCCCGGGCGCCTGGGTGGCTCAGTTGGTTAGGCGACTGCCTTCGGCTCAGGTCATGATCCTGGAGTGTCTGGATCGAGTCCCGCATCGGGCTCCCTGCTCGGCAGGGAGTCTGCTTCTCCCTCTGACCCTCCTCCCTCTCATGCTCTCTGTCTCTCATTCTCTCTCTCTCAAATAAATAAATAAAATCTTTAAAAAAAAAAAAAAAAAAAAGATTGTTTTCCCATTGTTTAATTAAAATGGGAAATAAAAACACACAGATAGCCCCTTCCACTAGCAGGAATGATTCTCTTCGGTGATTGAAAAAAAAGCAGGATAAAAAAAAAAAAGTTGCTAAATAAAAAATTTTTTAAAAATTTTAAAAAAAGAAAAAAGAGCAGGAAATGAAAGAGTAACAGATGTTCTGACGACCCGTCATTTCCATAATCAAAGTTTTGAAACTTCACACACAAAGAAAGAAGCTCAAACAAACATCTCGGCCTGGCAACTCTGAGACGTCTGAAGTGGACTAACAGGGACAGATGATGAGGTTGTGTGTGTTGGGTGAGCCTAGTGGCAAAGAAGAAGGTGCTCGGCCAGCTCTCCACTTGGGCCTCACCTGTCCTCAGCCAGGAACCTGCTCACGGCCCTCACCTGTCACAACTCTCACACGGGAGACCCACAGCCAGCCCTGGAGCCCGCCCTGCCCACACCCTCCTGCATAATGCACTCAGCTCTCCTCTGAGGCCCCTGTCAGCTTTACCCAGACCTGGAACTCCCCCATCTGCTGCAGAGCTCCAGGATTCCCCCTCTTCTTCCAAAATGACACTGGCCCAAAGGTAGAAGGCTACTTAATGAATGGTTCACACCTACTTTCCCCTTCTGTCGTATTTCTCTCCATTTACCTTCCTACCTGTGCAAACTGTAAGTAACATATCAATGGAATATGAACATGCTCTGAGATCGGATTCTTTCACTGCAACCTTCTGAGGACTCCTTGTATAATAAAATACCATATCCTATGACGGGGGGATTAAAACTATTATTTACAGAATAATTCAGCCCATTCACCTCAATTTTAATGGCTCTTCATTAGGCAGAACAGTTTCTGTGGAAAAAGACTTTCCATAGAGGGGCGCCTGGGTGGCTCAGTCGTTAGGCGTCTGCCTTCGGCTCAGGTGGTGATCTTGGGGTCCTGGGATCGAGCCCCGCATCAGGCTCCCTGTTCAGCGGGGAGCCTGCTTCTCCCTCTCCCACCCCCCACCCCCGCTTGTGTTCCCACTCGCTATCTCTCTCTCTGTCAAATAAATAAATAAAATGTTTTTAAAAAAAGACGTTCCATAGATATTACCTTCCACAAATTTCATAAGGAGTCAACGGAAGCTCTGTGGGATAACCTGACACACCTAGGCTCAGGCAAGCAGTTCCAGAACTCAACCCAGTGCTCCTGACACCAGCATGCCTCCATCCAGAATTCCCAAACACTCTCCTTCTGACTCCACCACCAAAGAAACTACAGAGAAAATACAGCATGTCAAAATATCTAGATGATACATTTAGAAAAACTAGAAACTCAGGCTCAACTTTTAAACAGTAAAAGCCTGCTTTGAATAATTTTGATTTTTCCCTTGACCCTAACTGTAACTCTTCTGATGAAAACACTAATCAATTATGAGACATCACCTTTGACAAATGACAAGACATCATCCGAATCTGTATCTGACGACAAAAAGCCACCTAACTCTAGATGCTGGCCGCTCAACCATATCCTAGGCCCAACTGAATAAACGCTATTAGATTGAGGAACAAAAGATATCTTAAAAACACACAAAGAGTAAATTTCACCTTCTCTTTCTAATAAAAGTTACTTCTAGGAAACAGATGATCAGAATATATTTTGTAAGCAATAAATGAACAGAGAAAATCGGATCCCCTGCAATGTTCTACCCGCAGGGAAAGTAACTCTTGAACCAAATGGAGAATGCTGAGAGCTACTTAAGTTTTACTTCGTAGCTCAACTAGAAAAAAGAGGAAAGCCCAGGAGGTTTGGGGTTAATCAGAAGTTTTACCTCCAGTCCTGACTTGAAGATGACATTGTGCCAAATGGACCTGCTGCTCTCTCTGAATGCTGACGTCCTGTGACGAGCAGCATCACTGACTCACATGCTGATGTTCAAAACTTCGGGTCTCATGGAGTCAGAGGGGAGAAGTGCTGTCAGGTGGGGATAAGTAGGACCTCCGACCTATGGCAAGCACACCTGCTTCGGTTTCTGGGAGAAGGGGAAACACATACTTGTTTTTTAAGTACTAATTATCTTCATTCTAAAGTAGACCAATGACTTTGACATTTTTGGAAACGCGAAATGACTCTTCCAAATCAACACCTCAACTCATCTGTTCCTCATGCAACTTGAGTAGGGTCTAGTTTACTCCAGCCTCCAGGCCCCCCCCCACCTGGAGGACCCTCCCGCACAATCCTGACAGCCCATTACCACCATACCCAGGGAACATGGGGCACAATGCTAAGTTGGAGGACGGCTCTGGGGCTTGTTACGGCCACACCTGTGCCTGGGGGAAGAGGGGACACCCTGCTGAACTCGGGGTGCTACTCAAGGTCCATTACCTGCACTCTGCCAGGGGACAGGGGGCACCCCACTGAACTTGGGGACTGTGTGCGGTCCTTACGTGCACTCTTCCAGGGGAACACGGGAAACCCTGAAATGTCCGCAACCCATCCCAAAAAAGCTCGGGTGAGCGGAGCCCTGGAGTTCACGGGGCTGGGGGATACGGCCCGTTGAAGGACTTTCAACGATTAGGAAACTCATCTGAGTTCGCGGGATTAGCTCGCTTCCCGCCTCCTTCGAGGACCCAACTCCCACCCGAGGTGCACCCTACCCCCGGGACCCCACCCCGGCCCACAGCGTGGTCTCACCCAGCCGGGAACTCTACAGGTGAACTCTCCGGGAGCTGGCCTTCTGCCCCACCTCTGCATCCGGGGCCGCTCCGGGTCCTCCCTCAGAGAGGTAACTCCACCCCCACGCGGTGATTGGTCGGGGAGGGTGGTGCCCCGAGCCCATTGGATGCCGCGCCTGCCTCTACCGGCCAACCCGCCCTCAGGCCCGCGGCTCCCTACGACGGCAGGTGGTCCAGGAGGCCCGTCCTCACGCCAACACCTGGCTTGGCGGCGCAGGCGTGGGCGGGGGCTATGGGCGGGGTCCGCCCCCCCACACACACCCGGCCCATTCCGCGGCCGCCTCTGGCTGCAGACCACCCCCAGAGCCCTGCCCCTTCCCTTCCTGCACCAACCCCTGCCTGCACCAACCCCTGCCTGTTCCCGGCTCCCGGCAAGATCAGCTGCGCTCGGACCTTCTGAGGCTTTGGGCTTTAGGAAATGCAATGTTTCACGCATTTCCAAGGCAGTTTTAAACCCAAAAACTAATGCTCTAAACGTGAAGAGCTTCGCCTTCTGGTCTCACCCATGGACTGGATAGTGCTTCTTGGACCTTCAAAGCATCCTTGTAGGATGAGCCCGTTTATGCTGGAATATATATACATATGCTTGGTTCTGCAGGGAAGCTCCAGGATGAAGAACAGCCGCCCTTCTCTGCTGTTGGAGTTGTGAACGAGGAACATTTATTTTTCACTTAAAAAGAAAACATATTGTTATTCTCGACACTGAATGAACAAACCCTTTTAAACACTTTAGAGAAAAAGGAAGAGAGTTTTATTCAAACCCAAGTCAGGACAGCTGCCTGGGAGACACAATCTTCACAAAAAAGGGAGTGCTCCGGGGAAGGAACATTTGAGGCAGGTTTATATATTTGTTCTGTGTTGATTTACATACAGAGTTACATATCATCATGAGGAAGAACATTCAAGAAAGTGACAGACTTTCTCTTATGTTTTCAGTTTGTACAAGTTGGTATGACTCTAATCTTATGGAAGCCAGAGAGGTTCTTTTGTTTTTCTTATCTTTATGTTTGCAATGGCATTTTGGGGTTATCTTTTTCTTCTCAAACCAGATGTACAATATGTGCTTGGGACAGAAATAGGACCCATACTCTGAGGCTTGGCCCAGTCATTTTGACCTTGGTAAAATGTTAAAGGATAGCTTCTCTGGGAGCCCAGGATCCAGGCCCACGGATGGTAAAAGATAAAAATTTCCATTATCACTAGAATTGCTACTAAAGGGAGGAACTTGAGACAAAAGTACCTTTAACAATAGTGCCAAAAAATCAAAATGATGCCTAGAGAAGTTCACCTGTCCCACGGTCAACACAGGTAACAGAGGTGTTCACAGATGCTGGGCTCCTCCCCTTCTCCTGCCCAAATCTCTGAAGCACACAGATAATTTAAAGTCAGAATTTTAGAACTCCTAGACATCTCAGAGATGTCTGGCACCATTCCCTTGGACTATAGAATAAAAAAGAGTAGCTCATTTTCACAACACTAATGGAAACATGAAGTGCCCCTAAAGCTTGCATACACTGTCTCAGTTCTTTCCTTGCAGATTTTGACTAATGTTAAGTCATAGTCATACCATATAAACACTACAATGGTTGGGAAGTAAGTAATCATAGCTAAGGGACTATTTTAGCAATGTTTATAAGCACTGTCTCACTTTGTAGAAGAGGCTGAGCTGAGTGTTTTTAAATACTATTTCAGACCTGTCTTACAGCACACTCTGAACATACTAGAGCCTGAATCAATTAAAAAAAAAGATAGTTCTTTCAGTAACTTGAAGATCTCAAGCGGATTATAATGTCTCTATTCCTAGAGATCTTGGAGTATCTTACTCAAAGGTCCTCCAATGTGCTCGCTTCGGCAGCACATATACTCAAAGGTCCTCCACTGATCATGATGGGCATAGTTTAAAAGGCCGGCTGAATTCATTCCAGTTGGCCACACAACAAGAAAATCCTGGTACTTGATATGTTTCCAGATGGAGAAGACCAGAGATAACAGGGAAAGAGTTCCGTGTATGGAATAACAAGGGATTTGGAGTCAGTTTGGAGATCCCACTTAGGTCTCTGACACTAAAATCCTCCGTGACTCGTATCGTCTCTGAGCCCCCGTCTAACCATCTAGAAAATGTGACTAAAAATACCTACATCATAGTTTAGAAGTTTAAGAGGGAGAATTCCACAAAGAGCAGTGTGATGGAGCTCAAGGGCAGGTGCTCAGAAACCATAATTACTATTTGGATCTATTTCTTTTCCAGAAAAAAGGACACATGTTGAAACCATATTTCTGATAGATGACTCGCAAGATTATTTTCAAACCTTAAGGAAGGTCAAGAAGCTGCTATTGTGTCATGTTTCACTCAGAGATCATCTTGTTGGACTGGTGAGGACAATACAATAGCACCATCGTCACTAGGAGTGGGGAGCTTCCCATTTCCATATGGCTATGTTGTCCCCCTTAGCTCAGGGCTACCAGAAAGGGCAGCTGGGGGCGACCACATGCCAAGGCTGCCAGGTGTGGCTGAGGCAGGCAGAACTCAGACTTAAGGCTCAACTCCTGTCTACCTTATTTATAGTGCTCTTCACGGATAGAATGCCATTGTCTGTGAGCTCTGATGTAGGAAAGATCGAGACTTTCCATTGTGATTCCCTCTCTGACCCTTAGGATATGTAGCAAATTTACATTTAAGTTTTAAGCATTGAGGGACTTCCTGCTTTTCTTTTCATTATGACTATGGCTCGATTCCCTGTAGTCTAAGAATATAACCTAGTTAATTTCAGGCTTTTAAAATGTGTAGACTTGATTCATGGCCCAACATATCGTCTATTTGGATAAATATTCTAGCACCACTTGAAAATAATGTATTCTGCACTTACTCTGTAATGTTCCATATATGTCAATTAGGTCACATGTCTTACCAATGTTTTGTCTGCTTTTTCTATCAGATATTGAGAAAGGTATATTAAAATCTTCAAGCAATGCTACTCTGGTCAACATTCCATTGGAGAATCTCCCAAGTGTTATAAGCCAAGAGAAACAAAAAGAATAAGAAGCGAGGAGATCATTGTGACTATTTACAGATAATATGATGGTGTACATAGAAAATCCAAAGTATTCTATAAATACACTATTAGAATTAAAAATGGAAAACTTGCAAATCTTAGAACCAAGGAAGCAATCCAGAAAGCAGCCAGGGGGAACAGATTTCTTATGTACGGAGGGAGGAACATCAGAATAACGTCAGACCTGTCCATAGGGACTTTGCAGGCGAAAAAGAGCCGGAAAGACATATTCACAGTACTAAATGAGAACATGCAGCCAAGGATACATAACCAGGGAAATGTTGCAAAAGAAAACCAAACCTGGGGGCATCACAATGTCTGACGTCAATCTATATTGCAAATCTGTGACGGGATGGTATTGGCACAAAAACACATAGATCAATGGAACAGAATAAAGACCCCAGAAATGGACCCTCAACTCTATGGTCCACCAATCTTTGACAGATCAGGAATGAATGTCCAATGGAAAAAAGACAGTCTCTCCAATAAATGGTGCTGGGAAAATTGGACAGCCACATGCAGAAGATTGAAACTCGACCATTCTCTAACATCATGGACAAAGATAAACTCAAAATGGATAAAAGACCTCAATGTGAGACAGGAGTCCATCAAAATCCTAGAGGAGAACAGAGGCAGTCACCTCTTTGACATCGGCCACAGCAACTTCTTTCAAGACATGTCTGTAAAGGCAAGGGAAACAAAGGCAAAAATGAACTTTTGGGACTTCATCAAGATAAAAAGCTTCTTCACAGCAAACGAAACAGTCAACAAAACTAAGAGGCAACCCATGGAATGGGAGAAGATATTTGCAAATGACATTACAGATGAAGGGCTGGTACCCAAGATCTAGAAAGAACTTCTCAAACTCAACACCCAAAAAATAATAATACTAATAATAATAACCCAATCAAGAAATGGGCAGAAGACATTAACAGACATTTCTCCAAAAAAGACATAAAAATGACTAACGTTTAACATCACTAGCCATCAGGGAAATTCAAATCAAAACCACAATGAGATACCACCTCACACCGGTCAGAATGGCTAAAATGAACAAGTCAGGAAATGACAGATGTTCTGAGGATGTGGAGAAAGGGGAACCCTCTTTACACTGTTGGTGGGAATGCAAGCTGGTACAGCCACTCTGGAAAACAGTATGGAGGTTCCTCAAGATGTTAAAAATAGAACTACCCTACTACCTGACAATTGCACTACTGGGTATTTACCCCAAAGACACAGATGTAGTGAAAAGAAGGGGCGCCTGAACCCCAATGTTCATAGCAACAATGTCTGCAATAGCCAAACTGGGGAAGGAGCTCAGATGCCCTTCAACAGATGAATGGATAAAGATGTGGTCCATATATACAAGGGATTACTCAGCCATCAGAAAGGATAAATACCTAAAATTTGCATTGACGTGGATGGAACTGGAGGGGATTAGGTTAAGTGAAATAAGTCAAGCAGAGAAAGACAGTTACCATATGGTTTCACTCATATGTGGAACATAAGGAATAGCATGGAGGACCGTAGCGGAAGAGAAGGAAAACTGAATGGGAAGAAATCAGAGAGGGAGACAAACCATGAGAGACTCTGGACTCCGGGAACCTAACTGAGGGTTACAGAAGGGAGGGGGTGGGGGAATGGGGTATCTGGGTGATAGGTATTAAGAAGGTCACATATTGTGACGAGCACTGGGTGTTATAGGCAAATAATGAGTCATTTAACAATACATCAAAAAATAAAGATGTACTATATGTTGGCTAATTGAGCATAATTAAATAAGTAAATAAATAAATATGCTTTCTACATGAAAAACAAATAATGGGTACAGAATTTCAGATTTGCAAATGAAATGTTCTCAAGAT